CTACTGTCAGGATATGGTGAAAGTTTCAGTGAATATGGCAAAAAGTTAAAAAGTTACCTACAGCAGCTTTAAGTTTGCAAAGGATAGCAAAATATGAGCTAACTAATCTACATAAATTATTAGCTAGTTAGTTAGCATTTTGCTACAGAGTAAAACGCTAGCTAACTATATTATTTGTTAGTTAGAATGCAGTTAAAAATGCTGGGTAATTATCTAGCTAGCAATGAATGTAAATTATCTAGCTAGTTAGCTAGTGTTTGTTAACATTAGCTAAGCTAAGATTTGACTATATATATATATATATATATATATGTTGCTTTTATGCCTCCAAATCAGCCAATAGCAAAATTCAATTGCAAGGGTTTTAACTAGAGGGCAGTCGCTATGAACATCTATACCACAATATGTAGAATTTAAATACTTTGCACTAAAATGTCAAGATTTGGACCTGAATCAATTAACACTACTGAATATCCATATACAGAGGTTTTCATCAGCATTTACAAATGGCCCCAGAACAGGGATGCAGTATATAAAGATACACGTAGAATATGAGCTTGTAGCTTATCTGATCTCTGATGTTAAGGTTGTGGAATTAGACCCACCCTGGAGAGGAATCAGGGAAGATCCTCTTCAGTGAGGCAGTCATGTGACCGACCATGGACTCGAGATCCTCAACATGCAATGCGCTGAAAGACAGAGTCTGCCTGTCTGTCTCCAACACAATCTGAAACACACACGCCGCGTCACACATGTATGACGCTCACTCAAACATAAAAGCCATACGTTTTTTAGCTTTAAGTCTGTAGAAATGAAAGACTAATTTCATCTCACAATATTTCACAAATATTGTTAAATAAATATAATCTAACTGGGTAAAATATACAATAAAGAAAAGAAACCTTGATTAAATATTGTACAAAAGTATGATTTTGATGTGGAGTGTACCTCGGTGAGACTATGAATGTTGATGGAGCAAATCTCCAGGTAGCTGAAAGTGCTCTCCACCTGTACTCAAAAAAATTACTTTTTTAGTAACAATGTTCAATTCAGTTCAAATACAAGCGAGTGTGCAGAACAGAAGTACACAGAGACAATTTATTTACATACATAAAAAACTAATCTAAAAATACAAAATAATAAATTACTAAAATAAAATTCCACACTTTTTCCATACTGTCAAGTCTGGGATACTGTCAACTCTGCTTGAAAACACAGCTTTCAAATGTCTACAAATTACATTTCTGAGTTTATAGCAGTGTAATAATTGCTGAAAACTACTGAATATTTCACATAAAAAGCTAAATAAATAGTCCAGAAAAGGTCAGAATGAGTCGATTAAAGTCAGTGAGAAAAATAAAACCCACATACTACATTCAAACTGTGCCATAAAATGTGCTGATGGGTGTTGGTGTAGTTAACAATGTGATATTTACCCTGACAGGTTGTTTGTTTATAACCATGTAACCTCTCCATAGACTCAGGACCTAGACAGAGAGACAACTCATCAGGTGTGGGACTGACAGACCTATAGCTCCCCCCACAGGCACAACATGGTGGTTACAGTATACAGTATTGTTCAGGGTTTGTTGTGTGTTAGTTTAGTTTGACTCAAGGCCCCTCAACAACTAATGCTATGTTCACACTGCCGGCTGATTTCTTTGCTCATATGTGACTCAGATCAGATTTTAATGACAGCGTGAAAAACCACATAGAATCTGATCTTTTCTATTCTGATTCAGGCCACTGTCATATGTGGTCTAAATAAGATACAGGTCTGATCGGGGCACTTAAGGACCATGGTCTGTTCACACTGGATTGTGATATAGGCCTCATTTAAAATATAGCCAAACAAAATAAATCAGATCTGAGCAATCAATCAGAATTGAGCAGCCTGCAGTGTAAACGCAGTCTAAGATTAGGTAACTGTGCAGGCGAAAGGCCAGTTGATATTGTGCTTTAGATGCATATTCCTAGACAAAATTAAACAAAATACCACAAACCAAGTGACACACAGTGAACATATACACAGTGACATACCAAAGAAATCATACAGGACAGGACCACAATACACAATACCACAATAATTTAGCCTTCCTAATAGTTGAGCAAGCCTTGGTCAGATCCTCAGTCAAATTCCTCCTTTCCTGTACTTAGATATGCTATGTGCTAGGCTAATCTGTATTCAATTCAGTTCAGTTCAGTTTTAT